AATTTATCTCTGACTTACAATAAGTTAATATTTTTATTAAACCAATCTAAAAAGAACATAACTAAATCATCAAATTATGCATCCCATAATTGGTGTTTTTAAAAGGTTTCATGTATTCTTCACTTTTACAAATTTTATGTGACTTTTTGATGTGTGTGTAGATATATATACACACAGAAAGAGCGAAAATGTCTCTGTTGTTTTTTTCAGGGGGCAGCATTGCACCCTAAGTAGACCTATAGGCTTGGCATTTGCAATGTTCTGTAGTAAAGTAGCTGAGAACATTTCTGATCCTGAATTGGCACTAACTAAACTGGCCAAATATAAAATTAATGATGGAATACCAGTGGGCTCTTAAGTATCTTAGGATCAGGCCATTTAGGTCTTCTGAAAACAACAGCACTTGAACTGAGCCTGGAAGGTACTGGAGCGTTGGTGCAAATATTTCCAAATATCAACCTCTCCTCAGAAAGCAGATCACGCCATTTTGTATGGGCTACAGCAGGGGTAGGCAACCTTTCCCCTTTAAGGGCCGAGGGACTTCAGCTCCCAGAAGCCTCAGCCATGTTGGCCAATAGTCCCATGTTGGCCAATAGCTCCTGGGATTCTGGGAGCTGAAGTCCCTCGGCCCTTAAAGGGGAAAGGTTGCCTACCCCTGCTACAGCCTAAATGTCTTAAAGGCACTAGATCCCCTCTGATCTTGGAATACCCCAAAGGCTCTAGATCTCCTCTGATCTTGCAAGTACTAAGCAGGGTCATTTCTGATTAGTACTTGGATGGGAGACTACCAATTAATACCAGGTGTTCTAGACTATATTTCAGAGGAAGGAACTCACAAAACCATCTTCTGACTATTCCTTGCCTAAGAAAACCCTATTAAATTCATGGGGTCACTCACTATAGGTTGACAAGTGACTTGAAAGCATATGTACACACAAAACACAGCTTCTAAACCTCTTTCAGTAGCAACAGAGAATCATACCATTGGAAAGGAATGCAAGGGACACGTGGGTCTCAAACAAACAGGCCAAAAGGGCTGCCGTCGGGCCACATTGGGAGCATGGCATTTACATGCCGCACACCCCGAACGCGGACAGAAGCTGCACCGAGCTTACCCAAGCTGGAAGAGGTAGGCCAAAAAGAAGCGGGGGAAAATCTGCTCTTTTTCGGTGGCCTGGTTCAGGACATAATGGCGGCCCAGATTGGGCCTTGATGTGTGCAGCTGCTGTGGTCCTGGTGCAAACGGCGGTGGCACGGTCCCACTGTGGACCTTTTGTGCCATCTGTTTGAGGATGTAATCCAACCCCCTGCCATGCAACAACACACAACTAAAGCACTTCATCTACAGTATGTGTATCCATATTCAAATACGGTATATGAACAAACAAACAAATTTATTGATTAGTCAACTGACCATATCAACAATAGAATACAGAATTTCAAGTACAAAATACAACATTTCAAATTACAAACAATAGTAAAATAGTTTTTTGTGGGTTGTGGGTTTTTCGGGCTGTGTGGCCATGTTCTAGAAGAGTTTCTTTCTGACGTTTCGCCAGCATCTGTGATGGATCTGTCCTGGACCCAGCATCAGATGCTGGCAAAACATCAGAAGGCAACTCTTCTAGAACATGGCCACACAGCCCGAAAAACCCACAAAAATCTATGGATGCCGGCCATGAAAGCCTAGGACTTCACAATAATGAAATAGCTTAGTAAACATATGAACAACAGCTCCTTAGTCTTAATCACCAAGACAAATCTATAGTTCTTTCACCAGTCACAAGACTATCCACTGTGATTTGATTACATTGGCTCACGGAAGAACCCAGGGGCAAAACCCCTCCAAAGTTTCAAATCTAAGTTGACTAAACAATGAGTGATAGGAATATCAATTTGCTACATGTTGCAAGACCAGCCAATTTATTTATTCAATTTATATCCTGCCTTTCCCTCAACATGGGACCAAGGCAGTGTACAACCTTTTAAAAGCACAATACAATTAAAAACCTTTCAGTACAAAAGTTAAAGTAAAATTAAATCAAATTTCTATTCTGAAAACACTAGTTAAAACTGCAGGTTAAAACAGTTTTTAAGAACACATATAAAACATAATAAAACAGAAAGAACATCTCCACCCCATTTAAAGTCATGTTAAAAGCAGAAAGCCAACCTTGAATTTAAAAAAGTCTTTACCTGCTGTCAGAAAGAGAGGTCCAACCAGACCTCTTGTGGAAGAGAGTTCCACAGCCTGAGACTGTGAAACTCAATCACCCTTATTTATCTTGTATGGATTAGGTACTAGAAGAAAAACCACTGGATCTGTATTGATTTCTCATGCCTTCATTGGTAATGTATAGTTTGTATCTGTACATTCGTCTTTATTAGGTCTCTCCTAGTTTTGTGGGAACTATATTTGAACATTTAAGTTGTCGCCTCTTGACATATGAGAGAATACGTTTAATGCTTTGGGAATCAGGATATATATTTTTAAATTCTGAGCATGAAATTAATATGACAAACCTTAAAGCTTCCTTGAATCTTGTCCTGGGAGACAAGTGGGGTATAATAAAAATAAAACAAATCCAAACACTTCAGCTAAATTAGATTGTGGCACGATCTATCATTTTATGGTGGACTGAAGATGCATCAAGATCTACAAATGGATCTCTGGGTGATTTACAGCTCAGTAAGACTCATCAATTTCTATAACAACAATTTTAGGGATAAATTAAGACTTTTCAATTTTCAAATTTTTGATCTGTATAGTCAGTGAAGTTTATGGAGTTCAGTAGGTAATTTCAGTAGGTAATTTATTGTCAAAAGTAACGATTTTCAGTTAGAGGTTGTGTTATCTGTTCCATTACTTTGTTTTTTTCCATTTATTTTATGAAATACCTACCTAAAAGCAAAACAGTGGCCTAAAATTTGAACAACTCCCCTCAAAATGCTCCCAAATGACCCAGAAGATAACAAGAAAAGATAAGTAATGTGTAAATAATTTACTAATTTCATGGGGGAAAATAACATTATCAGTTGCTATGTTACTATTCAAAAGGGACAACATACTATTCTTATTAATCCCAAAAGGGGCACACTGCAGGTAATGTTATTGTTTGTAGAACTGTTACCACTAAATCCTGAGTCTCTTGCATATGGTTCAGTGGGTAGACTTTGTGTGCAGACCGTAACTGGACACTACAATGGGTACTAAATATCTAATACATTGGTCATATGGAGAAGAATACTTGCCTTAATTCAGTTACTTCTTGTATACAGGCAGATCTGATACACAGCTGAGCTCCATTAATTCATTTCACTAGTGGAAGGACAGCATCATACCCCAAAAGAGATTCACACAAAATTCTGCCCCCTCAGTTGGAGTGACTCCATTCCAATGCTCCATGAAAAATTGAGTTGAGCACAGAGCTTTGGACTATCGAAAATATGTGTAGCAATTTGACACTAAAATTCTAAGATCTTTAGAAATCCAAGTTGCATATCATATAATAGTTTCCATGCATTATTATAGAGTTGGGGAATAGGAAAAAGGAGCAAGCCTGGTCTGTATATATGTATCCTAAATATTGTTGTTCTTGCATACTTTCAAGTCATTTCCAACTTATGGCAATGTTAAGGCGAACATATTACATGGTTTTCTGAGGCAAGGAGGTATTCCATGGCCAAGCAGGGAATTGAGCCCTGGCCTCCAAACACATAAAACATTACATCATGCTGGCCCATCCCATATATATTCAGTAACAAATATTATATGTACATTAAAAAAAATAGCTCATAGCTTACTGTAAGGACAAGTGACCACACGAAGATTAAATGATGGCCTACTACTGGGATGCATTTCAACACATACATCCAGTCAGTGAAATCGTGCTCAGATGAGCATTTTGATGAGCACAGTAATGACTACACTCTTTCTAAAGAAACAAATAATTATTCAAAATATCCAGGACAAGGGACTTTCAGCCTCCAGATGTTTTGGTCTACAAATTCAAGATCAATGGAAGCTGAAGTCTGCGGTATCTGGAAGGCCACAGTTGCATTATAACATTTATACTTAGCTATTGTTAATTTTAACCATATTACTGTTCCCAGGGATCATGGAGATCATGGATCACTTTATTAATATTTATTTTAAAACTATGCAAGGGGACCTTGATGTGTCTAAATGCAATATGCATAGTAAGGCTGTCTAAGTTACTATTACAACCAATTAAAATTTTTTTGTATCTAATACAAACAAAAAAGAACAAACATGATATGCCCAATAACTTCATAAAGATGTGTTGTAATTTCCACTATGGACATACAGAAGTTATTTTTATCAACAGTTTTTCATTTTCTAGCAATTAAACACTGCACAGTAATGAAAATAAAACTTTATTTGGGGAAACAAACACTTAGGTGTTAAAAAGCATCTGTGTGTTTCAGAATTTCTTCATCATAAATAAAGTATGTAAGTAGAATTCTACTTTTCTAGGCTTGTAAGAGAGAAAGAGCTTTCTACTGCATGCAAAAGGTGATACAAGCAACACAACAGTGTTAAAGGGCAGGGGAGTACAATTCTCAAGATGAGTGAACTCATACAGTGCAAACTCACAGCAAAGCAAAGTAAGTTTTGCTCTTATATAAATGTGGTACTTTGCTACAGCAAATATCTTTAAGGTGCTACATAAATATGATCTACAGTAAATACTCCATTGGAAGGAGAAAGCCCATGAAAAAAAGTTTTCATTTATCTCTTTCCAAATTCACCTAGAATTTAAAAAAGAAACAAGTAAATATTTATCTACACATTTCTAGGAAAAGTTTGCATTGTTGTTATTGTTGTCATTGTTGTCGTCGTATAATTTCAAGTCATTTCCAACCCTAAGGAAATCTATATGGGGTTGTAGTGGAAAGATTTCTTCAGAGGGGGTTTGCCTTGGCCTTCCATGGAATTTGATAGAGTGTCTTGCCAAGGTCACCTGGTGGGTTTTCATGGCCAAGCAAGGATTTGAACCCTGATCTCCAGAGCTGTAGTCTAAAGCTCAAACCACTACATCATGTTGGCATATAAGACTTATCAATTTACCAATGCTGTGAGGAATTCATTTTAAAAACAGCATACAGGTATCTGCAGAAACTCTATCGATACTTTTACAGAATAAATTTGATTTTTAAAGATCTCGTAATAATCATTTAGCTCTATTATCAGTTTCTATGCACATGCAACCTCTCTACTTTGGAATGCTTACAAGGGATTTTAGTTTAACCAAAAGAATACATAGCTATTGCCATCTAGTGGAAATGTGGAACAATGATCTTTGGGGCTGAAATTTCTGGGTGTGAGTGTGTAATGTGTCTGCAAGTGGCAACCACATGGATTTCATAGGTTTTTTTTAAGCAAGGAATACTCAGAGGTGGTTTTGCCAGTTCTTTCCTCTGAAATTTAGTCCACAGCACCTGGTATAAATTGGCAGTCTCCCATCTAAGTACTAACCAGGTCTGACCATGCTTAGGTTCCAGAATAAGAGAGGATCGGGGGCATATAGGATATTTTTACAGATGTGGCCTAAGTACTGCTAAAGGCAGCAAATAATGCTAACTGTAAGCTAAGCAGGGTCAGCCTTGGCTAGTATCTGTATGGAAGACCACCAACAAATTCCAGGCGCTGTAGGCTATATTTCAGAGGAAGGAACTGGCAAAACCACCTTGGAATATTCCTTGCCTAAGAAAATCCTATGAAATTCTTGGAGTCTCCATAAGTCAACAGGCAATTTGGAAGCACTACACACACTTTTTGCATTATCAGTCAGTAATGTATTCATGAATGATTAATACGATAAAATTGTTTATATTTTTGCTGTAATTATTAACAATTTTTTATTTTAATGTCCCACTTTTAAGGTTTTTTAAAAACTCAATTAAAATGATCCCCCCAATTCCCCCATCAGCAAATCTAAGTAACATAACATGTTAACCATTACTCAATATGTCGATATAATTGCTATTATGACAATCAAAATAATGACATTTAAAATGGGGGGAAACCCAACAAGTCATGAATCGTGATTTTTAACAAATTACTTCACAGCTCTGAAGAAATAATTACAGTGTGGTGTAGTGGTTTGAACACTGGACTACCACCCTGGAGAACAGGGATGAATTCTAGCTCAGCAATGGGAACCCACTGGGTGACCATGGGTAAGTCACACTTTCTCAGCCACAGGGGAAGGCAATGCCAAATCTCCTGTGAACAAATCTTGTCAAGAAAACCCATTGAAAAGGTCACCATAAGTCATAAATGGCTTGAAGGCACAAAATGAGGAGCAAACAGGTACTAGTTCTGTTCTCTTTCTACCAGCAGGCTCTTATGCTCAAATGTTTGCTTAGTACAAACCATTGTGAACAGAAAATTCTTGGGGAGGAGAATAACAATGGGGAATATCTGGAGTTCTTCATAAACTGGGCCAACCCATCTATGGGGAATGTTTAGGGTTCTTCACAAGCTGGACCAGCCCATCTCTTGCTTCAGGTGGTAGATGCTGGGTGGTAGTAATTGTAACCTCCTACTCACTGTTCCATCAAGTCCATTCTGATGTTCCTCTCAGATGGAGCACCAAGCTGTGTCTATCACTTGACCTATCCTGTTGCCTCAGGTGTGGATGCAGAAGGTTGGGCCATGCTGGAATATGATTCAATTGGCGACTTCTATACATGGAAAGAACAGGAGGTACATCAAGCAGCAAAATGGCTTTGGCTGGCCCTGGTCAGAGTTATCTAATGCAGCATACTAGACTAGATATCCTTTTTGTCTCATTCACTACAGCTCTTCTTATGTCCTTTCTACATTTTGAATGTAGAGAGATCTTGTAGCACCTTTGAGACTAACTGAAAGAAGTTGGCAGTATGAGCTTTCGTAGACTTAAGTCTACTTCCTCAGATGCATTTGAGGAAAGTAGACTTAAGTCTACCAAAGCGCATGCTGCCAACTTCTTTCTTTCAGTTAGTCTCAAAGGTGCTACAAGATCTCTCTACATACTGATTCTACAAACTAACACGGCTATATCTTTGAATTCTACATTTAGAATTAAAACCACATAGTAGAAAATGGTGAAGGGGTAACATGTCTACTGTTATGCATGCCAAAAATAGCATTTATGGCAAGAGCTTGTGGGCTTTGGAATGGTGATTAAGTAGCATTCAGTCTTCTATAGTTCAGAATTTGATTACAATTGCCAGAGTTTGGGGCATGAAAGTGGGAAAACCACAGATAAATAAAAGTGCTACCAGGGCAAGACATGGTTCCAGGACAGCAGTGGAGGTGGCAGCAACCAGGTGTGCATTCCCTGTTCCCCTTCCAAGGTTTCACACATGAGGTGTCATGGCATAGGGCAGCCTGGGCAAGTCCTCGCTTCCAGGAGTTCATTCTCTGTGTCCTTCCACCTCCATTTTCCTCTATTTCTCTGCTACAGAGAAGCTTTTTTCCAACCAAATGAACTTATGATGCATCAGACTATAATTCCCAGAACTCCACAACCAGCAAAGAGAGAACAAGTTCCACAGGCATGGGATTGGGAAGGTAGGAGTAGGCAAGTGGTGGACTCCACAGAGGAGAATAAGTATATGGTGGCTGGGGCTTGGACAGGCTGCACTATGCCATGAAGCCTTTTGTGTGTGAAGACTGGAGGGAGGGAAAGTGGAGAATATGTACTTGGGAGTTGGGCCTTGCTACCACGGCTGCACTGGGACTATTCAAACAGGATGTGGAGGTAAGTGGATAAGTATACAGTACTGCACAGTATATAAAATGGCAAAGGGCAGCTTAAAGGCAAACTCATGAATAATCAAATCTGTGGATGTTAAACCTACAAATGTGGAGGACCAAATGTATTTCCACATTTTTAACTTCCATATAAAGAACTAACTACAGAGAATTTATGTCTAAACTAATGTCCGAACTCCCTCCTTAACTAACCCTCAAAAGACATGCTACTGCCTAAACTATCCTGGTAACATTACATCTCCTACCATGAATATTCACAAGCTTTATTCCAGGTTTCTCTCCACTGAACTGTGGTGATAATATCTTTAAACCAATGTTGACACACAATGGCATTCCTATGTTTATGTGCCTTCAAGTTGCTTGCTAACTTATGGTGACCCCAAGAATTTAATGGGGTTTTCTTAGGCAAGGAATACTCAGAGGTAGTTTTGCCAGTTCTTTCCTCTGAAATAGCTTATTGAACCTGGTGGGTGCTAGTTTTTCTGTATCTCCCAGAAAAGAACTTGCAAATGTTCCTTTATGGAATATAACTCACTGAACCCCACAGGCATAGCCAAGATGGCCACTGGGGGCTGCAGTCGAAACCAGTAACTTTTTCAAGATATGTTCCAGTATCAACTCTTTTCCCTTGCTATTTCTATTAGAAATTCCCTCTTTTTTTTAATACGAGTGCCTCATTTCTGTCAACATCAACTAGTCTTCATACTGTGCACAACGTATTTGTGTTGTACTATAGCTATTCTTCGGTTTCCATAGCTAAAAAAAAAGTACTACTTTACTGGACAGGAGTTCTGTCATGGAGCAGTATCATGGCTATACTGTAAGGGTTATATTGGGTCACTGGATCCTTTAAAAATAATGGAAGACGTGGCATGGGAAAGGAGGAAGGAAAAGTGACATGAGAAAAAAGGAAGGATTCAGTGCATAACTCTAGTGAGCAATCTTTTTTTAAAAAGAGTCATAGGGCATTCGAAGAATATTAATGCAAGCTATATCTGAGAAGACCTAGGAAAGTCATTATTTTCTAATTCCTTTAAAAACTGTATTTTAAAAATTCACCATTTCCTATGAGCAAGCATGATACAGTCTTCCCCTTCTAAAGAAACCTTTATATTTTATTCAAAAACAAAACATTTAATAAAGTTATAGTGCTAGGTGAAGTATTATTTATTTACACTGAGCCTTTTGCTTTTTCGTTCTAGCCTGAAAGATATTTTTAGATTTAAGAAATGGAATTGCATGTTTGGGCCAAGAAGCTCTTTTGTATTTCCCAAACACCTTAAAACAAAATTGTGAAGCATGTATATCTTTAAAGAAAGATATCTACTTCCCAGCATCTTAGGTTTACAGTATTATTTCTTTATCACATTATTTACTGTAGCAGAGACACCCATTCTACTAAGAGGAACCTCCATGTACATGACCACAACAAGTAGCACCCATTCAACCTGAGGGAAGCCCACAGGCTCGCAGGGCCACTGGCTGGCTCTTTGTCACCAAATGCAGTAGGTTGAATGCAGACATCACTGTAATATCCTCACCAACACAACCAGAGGCAAAGAACAGGGGCAAGAGCTGATAAGGGAAAAAAAAAAAGATGAAAATAAAATTAAAACATCAAAAATGTTAGAAACATTCACAGCAAAACTGATGGTTATGATTTCTTTTAATGAAAAGAAAATATAAGACTAATATTCCAAATATACATTTATAAGTGAATTTCTCTCATTCATTAATTTGTGTTTGGTTAACATCAACACAAAGTAATTTGTCGGAGTGAGCAAATACTGACTACTATACCAAGCAATGAAGCACCTTACCCCAAAAAAGCAGTTTAAAAAAAAAAGATTACATGAAAAATTAAGGAACTATGGCCTTTTAATTACCATACAATTAGGTTATTTTCAGATCCATTAAAAATAATGGGACACCTAGCGTTACATAAGAATTTGGCATCTTAAAATGTCTGAACATTTTAACAGTTAAATTTTCTCAAAATGAAGAGTTGGCAAGAAATGGAACCATATATAAATGAAGGTAACCCAACATGCACTTCAGTGAGACACTTGGAGGAAAAGGGAGAGGTGCAATGAGGAAAATCATATAAGGGGAATGAAAAAGTTTTGTAGTGACCCATCCGACTTTTTCACGCAGGACTTTAAATCTGTAATGAAAGCATTTTGCTGTTAGGAGCCAACAGGTGTTTTCCCATGATGTCACCCCAGCCCAATTTTTTTCAGCTGCAAAATATTCTGTTAATTCACATATTCTGTTTTAAAACTTCT